GGCTTCCCTTTGAGATGATATTGGTTTGGGGGTTTTGTCAGGGCTTTTTGAATGATTATCAAAATCCCAAGTCAAATAATTTTACAGATTTAAAAAACCCAGATAGCTTTTTTTCCTCAGAGACATAATACAAAATATGACCTGCTGCTTCAATGCAAGCATCAATCACCAGAAGCCATGTTGGAATCAGAATAAAAATGCACTGTTCTCCAGCCACTAACTTACATTTACTCAAACAGGCACTGACCAAGTTAAACAAGCAATAAAAGTGGTGTTTTGGGGGTACTGACTGATAGATGAGTTCCTGATTTGTGAGGGCTTTTGAGCCCTTGTAGGACTCAGGGCAGCACTTAAACAGTTTTGTTTCTTTTTTCTTAATTTTAAATGAAACCTCTTCTTCTCCCTCTGGCTGTCTTATCTATTGATGTAACTGGTGTTGCATGAGAAATTACCTCATTTCAGTGACTGGAGACAGCTTTTCTAAAAGCTGCAGTAAGGTTTCCTCATTTGTTTAATGAACCTGGATAGGCAGAAAATTAAGTATCAGGAGCTGCAGAGGAAGAAAACTAAACCAGAATGTTCTGTGTATTGGGTGGCTTAAAAAAATATATCTGTATTAATATAGCCAGTACATGTAATTGGTATTTAGATTATGGCATGATTATTGCTTTGCAGACAGGGCACTCTGTTATCACTCAGTCATCAATGAAGTAGCTGCATTCTGTGCTCATCTCATCTCTGAAGCTGAAAGAAGAGCTAGTTATTATCTTCAAGTGAGTTATTAATGAGGGGAAAAATCATCCCCAATTACTGTGAAGCAAAATATTTCAACATTTACATATCTCAGACTTTAATTTTGATCTAATCCTTTGTGAGTTCTTAAGCTCAGACAGTATTCACTTTCCCAAACATTCTCACACTGGCATATTGAGAGGAACTTAGACCTGTCCAGGTGCTGGCTTCCCTAAAGGTATTCTCTAGGGTCACAGAAGTGCTGCCCATCCCATCCTTGTGCTGCTAGGGACTCATATCCTCTGAGATCCCTTCATGCTACCCCATAGGAACAGATCCTCCACTGTCAGCTGTGCCAGAGAAAAAATCCTGAGTTGTCTATACTGTCTGTGTTCCCAGTCAGGTTTTTTTTCTTAACTAGAAACAGCCTGGAATTTATTTGTAAGGGCTAATTTTGTTCTTTTGCTTTCCTTTGAATCCTTTTGAAATTAATGGTTTGAAAGTTTTGACTCTGAACATCCTAGAATAAAATCTGGGCAGCACAAAGGTGATGATTTAAATTCATATAAACATGTGGGCAGTAACCAGGAGATGGTAGAAGTGCTGTCCACACTGGGAATCCATCTATCAACACAGATGTGAAGGTCTGACCTTGGCAGATTCAGGGGGTAGGGATGTCAAACACAGTTTGCAGTCAATTGGAAATGTAGCTACTAGACAAAGAAAACTCAATAATTACACAGCTGTTTCAGTAGATTACAGATTTCCTAGAAAACAATACAACAACCATCTGTGAATGGAAAAAAAAGTAAACTACTTTTTTAAATTCAAAAACATTTCTGAAAGTCATCAGATATCTCCCCTGTAAACTTCTTATCTCTATTCAAAAGTGACACAGTCTGTAACCAATTGGTGTAGATTTCTCTACAGCATTTATGTCCATTAATGCTTCATTGATTTACAGTGAAACTGCTGAAGGACTGTCTTGAATAGACATATAAATATTAATTTCTAGTGAAGGATGGCTGCTATTACACTAAATATTAAATGAATTCATAATACTTGGACATTTGCAATAAATCACTGCTGGGACTGCATACTAACATCCCATTCCCTTTTTTTTTTTAAATATTAAAGCCATGGAAAAGAGCTGGTTGCTCCCAAAGAAATGTAGAGCTTTGTAATACTAGAATCATGAACAAATTCCCACAGCACAAGGAGGAGTTTCAACTTAGTCTCATTTTAGAGACAGAGAGAGGCATGTTGTGGTTTAGGCTGAACTGCTGATCACAGAGGGTTCAAACCCAATCTCTTTCTCATGGGTGATGTCACAGTAAATTATCAGTTCCTGACAGTGCTTCTTTTGCTTGAAATGCTGTGAGCAGCATCAGCAGAGGATGTGGCCATGTGATACCAGGAGGCTGAGAGCCAGACTCAAAGGGAGAAAGAGCAGGGCATACTGTCTGATCTCCACACACACAAAGTGGTTGGTATCAGGGCACCTCTAAGTACCTTGCCCAAGGACACTGCTTGAAGGATGGTACTGCTCAGGTTTTGTCTAGGCTTTGCAATTGAATTAAGTCATCTTCTCTCTTCCAAGACCACAGATCTTGGTTTCAAAAGTTCAGTAAAATGCTCAGCAGGGGCTAAAAATCAATTTTTTATTTTTTTCTTTTATTAAAGTAGAACAAAGGATAGATCAGCAAGTTCATTATAGCTTTCTGTTTTCTAAGGGATAGTAGCTTAAGAGTTGAAATTTTTGCCAGGGCTAACCCTGTGGAGTGGAAGCCATTCTTGAAAACAAAACTGAATGACTGTAAGACACATCTGCTTTTCAATGTGTAGATGGGTGTGAGTATATGCACCTCCTTCATTCCAAATATTTCTGCTTCTGTGCTTCTATGCCTTCAATGGTCTAAGTTGCACAAGGTTTTTCTAATGAAAATTTGCCAAGGTATTTAAATTAGAAGCAGAAATGAGAAAAGCTGCTACCACATAGGAATATTAATTGTTTGTTATACAGGGCTTTAATTCACATAGTTACTTTGCATTTGCAAGAGTGCCAATTAAAGAGGCTCAAAGTGCTCACTGCTGCACAATAGCCGTTTCTCTGGAGCCCCACAATGGCTATTGTGTTCTGTCACTGACCTTTGGACACCTTCAAATGCATATTGACACAGGATGCTGGGATCATTAGAGATATTGTTTCAGTGTGCCACAGGGACAGAAGAGTTTTGCAATTTCATGAAGAGCTTTAAAATTTTATATAATGGTGACAGCAACAATATTTCTTAATTAGACAGGGAGAGAAAAACTGCAGCATTTTTCTGGTGTTTCAGGTGAATTCCAGAATGCACTTTCCATACAGTCCCTTCCCATCAGGAAAAGAAGATATTTATCAGGGGCATTTGGTCTGCTTTTCTATTGTTTCCAGGGGAATTGATTTAATTTTTTTGACCTGGTGGTGCCATATGGCCAGCCTCCCTTATCTTCCATGGATTCTGCCTGGGTGAACATCTTGACAGGATGGATCCTTTCATCCTGTAAGTGCAAAACACTCTTTTAAAACATGACCAGTGGTATGCAGGAGACCAGGATCCAGATGCACAGATCACCCTAGGACAACAGTTCAGACTCTACTCTTCAAAAATCAGTGGACTTTGGCTCTGTGACAACAACTGTCTTCATTTTATGTCTTCTGTGTCTTGGCATCTAAGGTATTTCTGTTTTCTTACCAGTCCATGACAGTTAAGAAGTGCTGACAAGAACTTTGGAAGCAGAGATACCAGACATTCCAAGTACATTTACTGTAGTAAATCCTAGCATCTTTTAAAATCTTATATTTAGTTTATTGTAGCCTTTCTATTCTTTAAAGCTGCTTTGAGAAATTACTTCAGCAGTCAGAACATAAAAGAGCATAATTTTAAACCTTGCATGGGACATTTTGTCTACAGAGAATAAATAAATTACTGGCTTGTATTTCCAACAAGTGTTCCTACTTGAATATATAGAGAGAGTTTCTGTTCCATAAGTCTTGCTGGTTCTGGATTTGATTTTATCCCCTGGGATCCTATTATTGAACAAATTATCAAGTACAGCTAAACTTCACAGCCCTGAGACTCTGAAGATTGTTTGGGTAATGGCTTACACTTCTGACAAAAGAGGAAGAAATCTAATAGACCTTTGCAAAGCTTCTTGTATGATTTTTAAAAAATGGAAAATTTACTGCACAGCATTGCTGGTTTGCAACTCTAACCTAACATTGTGGAGCATGTGCCAGAGGATGGCCAATTTCTACATATAAACCTCTAGCCAAAAAACTTTCAAGATGAAGGACATAGTGTTTGGTATTTGTGTGTGCTTGAGGTAAATGTGCTGCAGGATTTCTCACACTGTTGTGAAATCAAAAAGGTCAGATATGTTTCCTGAGGAACACAGGCTAAATTTTTTTCTTCCCATTAATTGAAAGGGTGCTATTATCATCTTTTCATTTCTCTGTGTCAGAAACCCTTGTAGAACTTTGAAACCTCCCATGCACTGCCACTGCAATTGCCAATTGTGAATTTTGTGGTCTATCTTCAAACATCAAGGTGATACCTTTACCTTAACAATGAGGGGCAGTGACCCCCTTCTGGGAGGGAGACATGAATAGTTCTTGCTGTGTGGTGCAGGATTTGAAGGGTAGCATGTCATGGAAAGAGTTCTTCAACTGGATTCTCATGCCTCCATTCTCCCTACTGTAAATCTGCATCAGGCAGTAAAAGAGGCAGTAATGACGAATGCTTCTCTTGCACTGGGCTGGGATCTGGAATCTCTCCTCAGCCCATGGTGCTTCCCAGCAGAGGTTTTTAGCCATGGGTCCTGATTTCTTACTTGTGGGATGTATCTCTATTGAGGGACAGGATTCTCCTTGAGAGAGAGGGCAGCACTCTGCTTGCTGTCTTCTCTGCATGGGAAGTTTGTATCTTTGCTGTACTAGTGTAGCTGCACTCTTTGTTTGAAAAGGCACATGATCACTGCCTGGATAGATTTGAAAATGGGGCTAATCTTTGCAGTATGTTTGGTCTTTACTGAATTAGTTGAAGCCCTTTTCAATGGGGTGGGATTTTCATAGGATCTTTATTATACAAAGTTCAAGTTCTACCTGGATCCACCTCTATGGCAGTTTTGAGAGATTTCCTGCCTTACACATTGAGGTTTTCTAAAATGAAAACAAAGGGACTTGGTATGTTTGCTCACTGCCCATGTTTTGTTTGGTTCCTTTGCAGAAGGAGAAGAAGAGCGGGCTGTTGAAACTTCTAGCAGGAGCATCAACAAAAAAGAAGTCACGCTCCCCACCATCTGTGTCGCCCACCCACGACCCCCAGACAGCCATTGAAGGAGTCCTGCAAGGGGCAGTGGGGCCTGAGCTGTCCTCCCTCTCCAGTCACGGCAGAGCTGGCTCATGCCCCATCGAGAGTGAGATGCAAGGAGCCATGGGGCTGGAGCCTCTGCACAGGAAAACTGGCTCCTTGGATTTGAATTTTTCCATCCCTTCACCTGCCAGGCCTCCCCTCTCTTCCATGGCAGCTATTCGGCCAGAGCCCAAGCCTTTGCCCCGGGAAAGGTAAGTTGTGTTTCTCCTGAGGTTGCCTGCATCCACAGGGAGCAGTTGGAGGAGGGATGAAAGAGTTGTTGCAGTTTTGGTGTTCTGTGGATTGACTGTAAGTGGCTCAGCTGTCTTTTAGGAAGACAGGGCTTACATGCATCTGCCCATTGAAAGTCACTTGGTACACCGTGCAGGTTTAAAGTGTTGAAGAGCACCTGTCCATGACACTCCACAGCTCTGGTCTGGAGGACAGCAGTGCTTTCTCAGCCCATGTGGTGTAAATACTGCTGGCAAATGCCACATTTAGAGTGGGATTCCAGTATTTTAACTAAAGGAATAAGTTAAAGGAATTGGCATATTATGTCCCATCTGGACATGTCCTGTTCTGCAATACCAAAGACTGTTTCAAATTCTTCTTGTTTAGAAAACATACAGATACAGCCATCTTCAGTGACCTGTTACCAAAAATGTAGCTTGCTTCTAGAGAGGGATGAACCAGTGATTCTGGAGTTCATTTCAGCAGCCTGCTCTCCACCTTGGTACCTCAGAGTAACTGACTTCACAAACTTGAAAAAAGAAGAATAGGAATACCAAAATACAAAAGCTGGTGAAGAGAGAGATAACTGACCAGAAGAGAGCTGGGGATTGCAGAAAAGAGATAGGTCTCACTGTGCAGAGTCACACTGGCTTCAGGTAGATGTTTTCTACAAGACTGCAGCTTGTGGACTGGGAAGCAAATAAATAATACACAGCTACAGTGCCTTTGAAAAGCTTTCCACTCAGAAGGTGATTGAGAAAAACATACTTTTACAAAAGCGTTGAGGAATTTTTAAAAAGCTGCAGGGAACACTGTTCAGGGAACACTCTTGAATTGGTATTTAAAACAATTTTGAAATAACATTAAAATCACAGAAGTTGGAAAGAAACTAGCTTTGTGTGTATGAAAGAGGCTGAAGGGAATGGATTGGGCAAGGCACCTGACCCTGAATCCAGTTGGGATCATGAAGCAGATGATGTGTAATAAGGGACATTACAGGACCATCCATATACACTTTTTTACTCAATGCAAGCTGGAATTCAGTTGTGAAGGTGACAGTGACACCATAACATACTTAAACTTTTTTAAGGCATCTGGCTTGTTACCATAAAACCCCTTGCTGAGTAAACTGTATACAACCAACCCAGCAGATACTAAGTGGATTGGAAATTGATTCACTGGCATCAAATCTAACTCTACATAAGAAATCACTAGAAATGGTTATTAATGTATGTAGTGCAGCCCAACAGGAGTGGGGTCCTGAACCTGGACTGTCGACACAAAACCTTTGCTGTTGCAGGATGAGGACTGAAGTGGGACGTGTGTGATGGGTAGGGCAGATCTGTTGGTACAGAGCTAATTCAGCTCCTGGTCAGGTGGAAACAGAGTAACAGTGTATTTCAGAAGAGGCAAATCTGATGCAAAGTGAAGTGGACTCCAAGAAGCGTCATAAGAAAAATGGAAGATTTAAAACTATATACTTGCAATGAGAGACACCGGGAGCTCTGGCACACCTGGTAAAGAGTGTAGGGATGGCATGGTAACAGTCTGTAAGAGACTGCACTTAGGACAGGCATGGGAATATTTTTACACTAGATTTGGCATTTTTTCTAAAAGAGATGCTTTTGTTCAGGTGCAGCTGTTAGACTTGAAGCAGAAATAAATACAGGCAAGTCCTTCAGCATTGTAATGAAGGCAGTGAGAACAGACTATCGCAGTAGTCTCTTGCCCTTAAAATCCATGAAAAAGTAATTTATAAAAGGAGTGAAAAACCAATCCCTATTTAGGCACACTTAATTTAGTCTACATCAGTTCAGATTAATGCTATAAGAAAAGTTAAATCAATATAAACCAGATTTAGCACCAGTGTAACTGAATCAGTGGGCTGCTGCACCTTTAGTTAAATGTAACCATGAAGAGAAGCTGGGGAGTACAGCCCCTGACGTCTCCAGAGCTGGATGTTAATGTGCTGCTCTCAAAGCTTTACTATAGAGCACTCCAGACACATTATGTAATATGCCAGGGCTAGTCCCATACCCTACAAATTTCTCAGTCCACCTCAGGTGGTCCAGGTAGGGAAACATTTAACTGATGACTATTTTTAACTGTCAGAATAAAACCAGAGAGACAAAGGTTACCTGGATCCTCTTAGTTGTGCTGGAATCAGGAGCAAATAGATTTAGAGAGCTAAAACTGAGTAAATACTTCCAGCTGCAGTATATGGTGATAAGGCACTTCCTCTCATTTTACGTATTTTGATTCCTGAGTCTTAAATCTGAAAATAAGCTATAATTGAAGTAACCATAATTATACACAGCAGGCAAGATTCTTTAATTGATTTATGAATTAACTTCCATATCATTGGTGTATCTGCATTCCTTAACTGATCATATGGGTTTTTTCATGTCCATAATGGGAAATATTAATTACCTTCATGCAGTAGGAAGGATAATGCTTAGTCCTGGAATAATCTGAGCAGATACATTAAACACTTGTCTGCTAGAAATTCATCCCACATCCATCTGTGCTCATTAAATCATCAAATTTCTCAGAAGTACCAAATTATATTTTTTTTAAAACAAATTACGGTTTTCAAACCTCTTGTTCTTTTCACATCTGGCAATGGAGCAACTTGCATTCAACGTCACTCAGCTCCATATTTTGCTTGTTTGCATTTTGGTGCATTTCATACACACAGTAGGAGCAATTCTCTGAGAAAGAAAAGGGAGGAGAGGGAAAAAAAGGTTAGATAAACAGATTCAGATGCTGGAAGAAATTTTAAAAAGCTGCAAAGCATTTCAGTACACTTAGCTGTACTTGGCTTTCTGTCTCCCAACGCCCATCTGTGCACACAGAAACAGAGCACTGAAAGGTTGGAAGAAGTAGCACATTCCTTAATATTTACAGCATTCAAAAAGGGGCTCATGCAGGCAGCAAAGCACCGCTACTTTTCCTATAGAGGTTGGCTTGCAGCTCCAGCCCTTGCCACATCCAGGTTACCAATCAAACCCAGAGCACCAAGGGGTGCATTAAAGGGCTCTGACTGCCTGCAGCTCACTCACTGTTTAAAGGATGAATTGCCTGTTCTGCTCCCCGACAGTGCTGACCTGTCTGGGAGTTGCAGACAGGTAGACAGAAAGGTGAAGCAAGCGTCATCCTCTTGCAGGTCCTGTTAATGTTTATACTCTTAGTCTTTTTTGGTGGTTTGGTTTTTTTTTGTACACAGAGAGGAAAACAATTATCTTCTTCTTCTTCTTGATATTCCGAAGCCTGGCTATGGATGACTGGATTAGGAAGGAAATTGCTCCTAGCTCTCCTGTCATTTAGCCTTCATATTTGTCTAGTTTGCTAGGATAGTCAGAGCCCATCTCTGCCTTCTGGGTGTAGTTTCCACTACCAGTTTATAAAAGCACATTCCTTCAGATGCTCTCTGTCATAAAGCATCCAGCAATCCAAGCAGCAGAGCAGAGAAATTTCCCAGGTGGTGTCCTTGTCACTTCATGTGGCAGTGATTGACTGCCAAGTGAATACCCCATCAGCCTGTGTGTGCCCCACACACTCTTTTCCACCTACAGTTCCATCCAGTTTCTGCTGGTATGAGAAACAGGACCAGTACAGGGAGGCACTGTGGTGAGGCAGGCACTGGGCCAGAGTCTTGCCCACATCCCACCACGCTGTTGGCTCACAGGAGGGGTGTGCTGTGTGCCTGGCAGCACCAAAACAAAATACTTCCCTTGCCACCCCCTTCAAGAAAATGTGACTGTACATGAAGCAAAACAGGAGAGTTGAGTGTGCGTGTGTGTGTGTGAGTCATGTTCCCCTCGCTGCCTGGCACTGTTCCCAGAGGCGAACCTGAGTAAAACATGTCACGCGCTGTTGACTCTTTTATAGTAGCTGGCACTAACTCTGCCATGTTATATTGTGATAAAGCAGCTGTGGCCAGACTTATTGTCATGACTGGCATATCTGCACTGTGTTTCTATGGTTTTCATGCAGCCTTCAACCAAGTTATAACCACAACAGTGCTGCAGAGTAAGATGGGAGTAGTAAGTTTAACCTTTAAAATAAATCCTTCCACGTTTCCATGTATCTTTCTACAAATCACTGCCACATTAGAAATTGAGCTCCCAATTCAAGGAAGCATTCAAGCATGTGCTTAACGCCCATTGACTTCAATTTTGCTGTGCTCATATGTCTTCTTTGCCAAAAAGGAAAGCAAAAGAAGAGTTCTTTTCATTCCTGGAAAGTGATACTAGAGAAATGACCCAAGGAGTAATTTCTGACTGAACAGTGACATGTATTCACATGGTTAAGTGCTTCTCTGAGTAGGGATACCTGCCTTAGGATTGGGAACTAACCATCAACCATCTCAGAAATTAAATCCTAAGATACTTCCAGCAGAAAGGTAAAAGACCCAACTGAGATTTGTTCTTATAGGGGTACTAATTCAGTCACCATACTATGGAGAAGCAGATTTTGGCTTGTAGTGTGCAGAGTTGCCTTGCAGGTCCCTGCAATTTGCCAGTGAAAGGATGAAAAAACAGAGCTCCACTGGTAGACAGGAGCAATGGGTAACTGAGCTAGATGGTCCATTGGCACTGATATTCCATTGCCTCCACATTAGGGATGTGTATCCCTAATGTATAAGAGACCTGGACTAGACTCATGAAACCTGTTTTTAGTGTATGATACTTTGAGAAACAGGAACTTGCATTAAGCATCAAAATTCAAGCACTCTAGATGGGATCAGATTGGAGGTTAGCCCTGCAGACTTAATTTGCCTCATTGCACATTTTCCTAAGTTGCTCTAGTTCCATCATTGTCCTGGATACACGTATTTACTCAGTGAGTATTTTGGGGTTCAGCCATTAATTACTGATCAGTTCTGATCAATACTGTTCAGTGCCTGCCTGCACACTGACAGAGGGCCTGTATGAGTCATTCAGAGCAGACAGGACTCCTACGCAGGCAGTGTGCATGAGATGAGTCTCTGTGGAAAGTGTGGCACGAGGCTTTGCAGCTGAAGGAGTCAGAGAAGCCACTTTCCCCACATCTGCACTACTCAGTGCATTTCAGCATGGTCACTTGCTAATGATATTCCAACCTCTGCAAAAGGTGGGGTGCCTCCCATGTCAGAGGCTTGACTCACATCCAGAGCAGCATCTTGTGCACTAAATGAAGCAGGCATCCTATGGGAAAAATAGTATGCAATCATATAATGAAAGATTATATTGCAAGACAGCAGAAGTAAAGTCATGAACAATTTTATTTGCCTTTTTCTTCATCTCAGATGCATGGGTGTGAAACACTTGTGTTCTTGTAAGGTTGTAGATTTCTTTATGTATCTACACACGATATTTTTAATCGCTTTGCTTCTTTAAAAGAAACAAAACCAGAACTTCCATCAGGTGACATCTGTTTGAGGTTAGGAGTTTTATTTGCACCTTCCAGATTTCAGTAGGAGTAGCAAAGGAGGACTGGGTGGGAGAGGTGTTTCTTTTGGCTGTGAAAAGAAGTGCTATGAAGACAGGGGACAGGGGGATTGCAAGGTCTTTGCCGACAGCAGAGGATGGACCTATTCCCATCTCAGTGAGATAATTGCTGCCAGGGTGCCCATCCCACCCCCAGCCCCAGTGCCAGCCTCTACTGATGCAGTCTCCTGCTTCTTGGGATGCCCCAAGGCTCCTTCCCACCAAGGCTTTTTGCTCTCCCAGACTCAGCTCAGCAGAGCTTCCCCCCTCAGCAGCCATACCCACACCTTCTCTCAGGGCTTCCAGTTTTCATCACAGTCACATTTCTTCCTCTGCTCCCAGTTTTTCTGCCATTAGCCTCCCTCTTCCTCCACCTTGTCCCTTACCTTGCCCCACTCTCCAGCTCCCTGGGGTTTCCCTGCCCAGGAAAAACCCATCCTCTGTCCTTGCTGATACTACTTGCAGCCTCTCCTCTTGTATTATCTCTTGTGCACCAAGGACCCTCCCAGGCCACTGCCCATCCTGGACAGTAGCCTCCAGGGATGAAGTGCTCAATCCAAGGATGCCCCAGCAGCCAGCAGTGGGGATGTCCAACATCAAGTCTGTCCCCTAAGAGAAAAATACAAGTGGGGCCCAGTACTAAGAAAGGAAGAAAAATGCAGCCTCTGAGGTCCCACAGAGCTAGGACAGCTTGGAGCATAAATCAGCAGAGATTTTACTTTCAGTGCTCATAAAGCCTAAACATGTGCCATTTTGGGGTGGTTTGAATGTTTTTAAACCTGTCTGTGAGTGGATGATTTTCTGAAGGAACACCATCCCTTACAGACCAGTGGGACCACAGGAAGGTCTTTGCTCCCAAATACAGGACCTGAGAGCAGTTTGTGGAAGTGCTCATATAGGTCCTGCTGGTGCTGCATAACCCCTCGTGTTATTCTGGAAAGTGATGAGGCCATTGGGCTCTATGTTGGACCCTCAGCCTGATACAGCCAACTGCTGAGAATTAGGGCCAAAATGATTAACATTTGTCAGAATTTTAACTATATAAGACAGATTTACACAATTTACAACAGAAATTACCAAATATTGTTAATATTGGTCAGAGGTGGTTGCCACACTTGTCATCATTAATTGTTGCCCAGCTAATTAGCATTTTTGAAAGTTGGTAATTTAGAGGTGGAATGTGACACAGACAAAATTGAGAAGGCTGAGATCCATCTAAAATGCCAAGCAACAGTTTGGTATAGGAAAACCTACAATTTTATAGCATCTTCTCGAAGAGGGGACAAAAGGGGAAATTAAAAGTGGAGATATAAATAGAAGTATCCCGGGCTGCCTTTTTGGGAGTGAGGGAGGATGTCTGGGAGAAGAGAACTTTTCTGCCAAAAAAATACGGCTCATAGCTGTCCTTGGGGTTCCGTTCCAGAGGATAAGCGAGGCTGAGGTGCCACCTGGAGGTGTGGAGGGGCGGCACAGCTCCCCGTGCCAGCGCAGTGCCGGGAGGCTGCCCCTGCAGCCCCGCCGGGCTGCTCTCCCAGGCTCCGCTTCAAACCTCTCTAGGAAAAGGCATCGCGTCTTTTTCCATCTCTCTCTTAACTGATTTGCAAGGTCTTTCACAGATAGTGTCTTGTTATTCTATCAAAAACCTCTTCAGTACTATCTTGTGAGGTACTGTAGTTAATTAAATTTAAACCATAGCATTTAGGGTTTCCTGAATGGGGGAAAGTGCCTCATTTTGTAGTGCAGTGACTGAGATTTATTTCTCTAAGTTGCTAAGAAGATGCTGTGTAGAACCCCTTTTATGACAGTGGGTGCATTCCTGTTGAGTGTGGTCACCTGCTTCCTCCTGTGAACCATTTAGGGACTAGCAGCTCATCACTCTGAGGACGTAGTTTTGCTTTAAAAGGACATCTCTGTGCTTTTGGTACATGAGGTGCTGGCAGCCCCAGCTGGGTCTTCAGCGTGACCCTGCCCAAGACACCACCTTTTTCTGAGTTTCTGTTTCCTGACTTGCCAGAACTGTCCATGAGTACCTCCACAGGACTCAACTAACATTGAGGTCCAACCTTTTTTATTTCTCAAGGCCTCTTGAGTTCCTGATGCAGAGCTCCGATATGTGTGATTGTGCGTAAGAGTAGTGAGATCTGAAACTTGGCATCATCTTAGCTGAAATTGTTCCACTCTGATAATTTAATTAATCAACACTGCAGCAGAGTGTTTGAAATAATGTGTGCATTCATTTGCATAATGAGTGTAATTGGCAAAGCTTCATATTATAAGTGTAGCAGTTCCACAGATGATAGCTTGATAGACCATTTTCCTGTACACGTTTCAACCCCTGTTATTTGCTTTTCCACAGAGGAAGGAAGTGACAACTAGATTTATTAACCAAGGTACAGAGAGGATCAGCAAATTTTTGATGGCACTTGAACACAAATATTTTCCACGACTGTGTTGCTGTCAAGATAAAAAAGCCATAGTCAGTTATTAGAACAGAACCCCTGCTTCAAATGGAGTTTAATGCTTTTCCAAGTAATGGGTTGTTTGGTTGTGGAGATGTCCAGACATAGAGTCAAAGCTGATATTTCCAGTGTCATGCCAAAGTGGAGTGCCTAGTTTCAGAACAGAAGTCACTAGGCACCTGAGCAAAATCTGCTAAGAAAATGGGTGACTGCCACTGGAGAGCCCCTTGCTTTAGTACTGTCTCGCTGGGGATGGCCTCGATGGTCCACAGCCTCCAGGGCATGGTAAAGTCCCCAGAGTCAGGATATTATCTTAAATAAGTACTCACCTTGTTATAAACAGGCATTGGCAGCCAGGCAGCAGTTGTGAATATATTAATTCTCAGGAGATGGACTTTAGGTAATAATCAATTGGCAACTTTTAACTATCTTACTATATTCATTACTTTGCAATTAGCAAGACAGTTATTGACTGTTAACCAAATGCCAGATAACTGCAGAAGTGCTGAAGGAAAAAAACAACCATGCAGTAGAAATATATTCCCTCCTCTGCACACAAGTGCGTTGATATAAAATGGCCCAGTCTGTGCTCTCAGAAGGATGCCTGCTGATAAGCTCTGAGTGCAGAATAGCTGTATCAGGCTCAGACACATCATTACTCCATTGAAATGAAGTGACACTTGACAACTAAGTTCCCAGAGAGCCCTGGGAATGGTTCAGGACTGGGGCTCCCCGTTGGTTTGGAGAGTGCTTTGAAAGTCACTTGATACCTCTCCATTTTAGCTTCCCTTCCAGGTTTGAGGGACTCAAAGTACATTCTCAAGACACATTATAAGAAGAAAAATATGAACTGCTTTAGCTAACATCTGCTGGTGTCACATGCAGTGGGAGCATTGCAAACCCCATTTTTCATCATCAGTGGACAAGGGAAGAGAGCATATCACATATCTGGACTTCTGTAAGGTCTTGGAGATGGTCCCTCACATGTCTCTTTAAATTGGAGAAGGATGGATTTCATGGGTAGACTGTTAGGTGGAGCAGGAATTGGTTAGACAGCCACATCCAGAGGGTAGTGATTAGTGACTCAATGTCCTAATGGACATGGGTGATGAGTGGTGTCCCTCAGGGGTCCACACTGGAACCAGTGCTGTTCAATATCTTCATCAATAACATAGATGGTGGGATTGAGGGCACCTCAGGAGGTTTGCAGATGACACCAGACTGATTGATGCAGTTGACACATGTGCTCTGAGCAACCTGCTTGAGTTGAAAATGTCCCTGCCTCTGGCAGAGGGGTTGAACTAGATGACCTTTCAAGTCCCTTCCAGCCCATACTGTTCTATCATTCTATGATGCTATGATTTTTGGAGGGAGCAAATGCAGAGCTGAATAAGACATGTTACAGTGGAGATGCAGCACTAGGATAAAGCAGCCAAGTCCTGGCACAGGCTCAGCACACAGCTGGGAGCAGAGATACCATGAGTGGTCCATCCATTTGACAGCACATTTCTGCTTTCATGGGCTGGCTCCAGAGTCATCCTGGTCAACTGTCCAGCAAAGCTGGCCAGAAATTTACATCTTACTCAGTTTTAGTGGAAAATATAGTAGCTGCATTGCATACAGCTAGTGTGTGAAAATGTAACTTACTGATATTTCCTAAAGTTTTTTTCCCAAGACCTCTGGTACTGGTGCCCAGCTGCTCCCATCAAGGGCAGATTAACCAAGTCTTTGCACGTTTTTCTCTCCGAAGGTACCGCGTTGTGGTCCCCTACCCGCCGCAGAGCGAGGCGGAGATCGAACTGAAGGAAGGTGACATTGTGTTTGTGCACAAGAAGCGGGAGGACGGCTGGTACAAGGGGACCTTGCAGAGGAACGGCAGGACGGGCCTCTTCCCCGGGAGCTTTGTCGAGAGCTTCTGAGGACAAACCACCGCTCTCTCAACTGAGGAGCTTTCAGGGGAAACTGCATAGCACAAGAAGAGACAGCAAAGAGAAACTGGACTGATAACCACTGCCATTTTTATTTCCAAAGACTTCCCCCAGGCCCTTCAGTCTGCAGCTCTGGAGACACAGTGTCCCGCTGTGCTCCCGAGACCGTGTGCGGTGCATACAGTGGTATGTTGAAGTAGTGCCTTCCACCTGGAATCACAGACTGAAAGGACGCCCATCTGGACTGTAGTAACCTAAACTCTGGCTGTTAACCTTTTGTGTAAATTATAGAGAAGATATCTTTAAAAAAAATTAAGAGGAAAGCTGTTATATTGCTGTAACTTATTTGTCAGAGCTGCAGTGTTCTTATTACTGGCCTATGCAAGATGGATTTGAGAGTTCAAGGAGGTGTGCTAGGAAGCTCTTAAACTGGGATTTTGTTTTTACCAAGGGAAGAAGAGGGGAGGGTGGAGAAAACCCCAGCTAAAGATCAGTGCATCATTGTGCAAGTAAGAATGAGGAGTCAAAAACGTTAATGTCATGCTTTCTATATACCTCAAAGATATGCTGCGCAGGTTTGTTGGTGCGTGTCGGCGTTCAGAGTGCCACACCACCCTGTGTCCTGGCACTGCTGCCAGGGAGGTCCTGGAGGAAGCACGGCTCCACCATTAAACTGTGGTTATTTGAGCAGAATCCCTTTTGCCTGTCTTCTGCCCGTATTATATGCAGCATGGATTTTTGTCCTCGGTATCACTTTCCATTGCTTTTTTGTACGACGTACCTTTTTACTGTAAGAATTGCTCTACTTTATATATATTCCTACTAGATCAGACATTTCCTCTTTTTCATACATCTGGTGCTATTTTTTTTAATTGTTAAAGATTTGGTTAAACAGAGAGGCTGCAACAAGATTTGCATTCAACATATGAAATTAGAACCGTACCTGAAGATTGAGATCAGACTTGTTCTTGCATCATAGAGGAAAAGAGAAAAAGCTGCATGGTCACCGATAAATACACCTGGGGGGGGCTGCCTGTGGAACACACACATGCTTGCTCTCTCCTACATATTTAGAGTGGCTGAAGACCCATGCTGAAGCACAGCGTTCTGTCTGGAGAGTGATAATGACTCCAGAATTGGAAGTAATTCCCAGAGGAGTCATTTTAATTGACTTTCATGGCAATAAGAAGAACACTGCAGGTTCTAGCACACGCAGGGACCATGGAGTTTTCCTCTGTCGTTGCATGACGGAGACAAGAGCTGATCTGCGACAGCAGTAATTAGTGTTATGGAAATGTGATTTCTTACTGTAGAAATGTACAGTTCTGGAGACTGTTGGATTTCTTAATGTCGTCAAGCTACAATACAAACTGTATCAGGCAATATAAGCTTCCATCTACCAGGGACTTAAAGGTGCAATAAATGTGAGTTTAGCCAGTAATTTGTATGAAAAAGAATGAGAAAAAAAAATCATAATGCAATTGTTGAGAGTATTTAAAAAGACATCGGTTCTTGAGGAGTGAATTGTGTTGAAAGGCCTTTCATAGCTGTATCCATACCTTGCCTCTGACAGCAGCTGGCTGTTTGCCAAAGCCCACATGTGGTGAGTGTTTAGAAGTGTGTCAGAGGCACTGTAACCTGGAGATGATCTTATTAAAACAAAGAGGCCTGGTGGGTGAACATCATCACTGCATTACCAGTATTTCATGTGCGAAGGTGTAAGTTTTGTTTTCATTCAAGCCGTGTGTACTAGTACATATCAAAACTCATGTAAGTGAGCATTCATGTTTAAGTTCAGCTCTGTGACTTTGTTCTCTGTAAAATAAGTTCTTCTTGCTGTCACATGTTAACAAACCAATTCCAGAAACACAGTTCATGGCCAAGTATAGCACCTTCAAACCAGGAGGCATCACTTTCAGGGTGTTTCTTTTTATACTTGATGTTGCCGCATTTGTTGATATTCCAGATTGTAATGAGTCAGTCACTAAAAATTTAGTTACTGTTAAGAGGAAATTGCCTTTTTATAACCAATAAGAGACTGAAGAAACGTCTTCTGGAAAGACTTGTTCGAGATTAGAGCCATATCTGTTCCACTTATTTGGTCCAGGTCAGAACTGGTGTCACTGCACCTCAAACAGTAAACTGCACAGTTAGGCAGTCAGCAATTCCAAAATGTGTTATTGATTCCAATAAAAATTCTGGGTTAGATCCGTCAGAGATGAGATTTTTTTCTGACAACTTACAGTGGTTAAAACGCTCTTAAAATTCTGTTCCATGGTGTATTTACTACAGTCAGAAAAACAAAACAGGATGACAACTTGCATGCTGCCTATTCTGTTCAGCCAGATCTAAAATGGTTCCAGATTTCCATCGTTTTATGCTTAACTCTAAGAGGACAAAAGCTGGAGTGTGAGAGGATCAAGGAAAACATGCAGATCATTAAATCATTAAATCAGTGCTTTAAAATATATTTTGCAAGAAGGATGATGATTTTTTGAATGGTCGAAAACCCTTCCAGTCATATTTTTCTTCTAGGAAAAATATGGGGAAAGGGGGAGGAGGTGTTCTATTTTGATAGCAGCTGTTTCTCGCCCCTCTTTATTGCTTATCACAGTTTGGGTTACTCAGTAATCTTCTTGGACAAATCACTTCCATGCCAGGAGCACAAGTATTAAGGTGAACTTAATACAGCCCAGTGATACAAAAACATGACCCAGTGCCATTCAGAAAGTCCTGGACTGAGAGAGGTTTGACTCATACTGTGGTCTAGTTTTTACCTGTCATGCCAGGAAAAGAGGGAGGAGAGGGCATCTCCATCTCCTGCAACAGGGCGGGGAAAAGATTCCTTCTGGTGGCCTCAGTTTGTAAAATGCCAGGTTTGTTCTTCTAGAAGTGGGTTCAAGTAATTGAACAGTTCCTTTGAACTTTGCACAGCTCAGAAAATGTTTTTGTTATACATGAATGTTAACGTGGTTTAGGAAATGTTGGCAGATATGAGTACAAATGAGCTACAATGACTGTGTTTCTGATTCTTTAAATAAAATAAGTATTAAGGCAACTTGACTGAGGTTTCTCTCTCTATTAGACAACAAGGTGAACAAGCAGTATAAGTGGCCCGGAGGTTTGCAAAGAAAATAGGGAAGACTGGTCTGCAAACCCTGTAGTAATTCCCACATAAATAAAAACCTGTTAGGGGTAAGAAATGCCTGAACAGGAGTCAGAATCTCTGGTTCTTCTTTTAACACAACTGGGATTTCTTTAAAATCTTGAGAAGTTAACAACTTACCTGTGGAGAAGAGGTGTGTAGGTCCAGAGAAAGAGAGTGGGTAGAGCCCAGGAAGAGGCAGCAAGGTGGCAAGGGTAAGGCTTGAGAGACAGAGAGGCTGGGAGGGGATATGGAAGCAGAAAACTGGCAAGGAAAAGAGCAGCCTCTAGTAGTGTTAATGGGCTTCAGGGGTGCTCTGAGGTCACCTGGTGGCTTGAGCAGGTTTGTAGGCAGAGGAAAACCCCTTTCTTCATGCCCTGGGTAGGCTTGGGCATGGTGTTAGCAGGGTCCGTGTGTCCTCTAGGCAGTGTCAGCCAAGGAACTGCAAGAGAGGGAAGGAGCAGGTTGTACCCTGGGCAACTGAATGCCCCCTAACTCAGGTGAGAGGGGTAAGCCTATTTTTGGACAAGGCCTGAGATTGCCATTCAGCAGCACAGTGCAGAGCATCTGAAGGGAGAACATGAGTCCATAAGTGGGTCTGGATGTGTTTGCCTTGATTTGGCTGACAGACACCACTGGAAAAGTCACCCACACATCACAGGTGGTGATTCTTTGCAGTTAGGGAGCACACAGGGCAGGGATGAGTAAGGCACAGCTAACTCACTGGGTCATCTGCATGGGAGATGATATGAGTCTCTTTTTGCCCCAGCTGGATCCTGAGTCAAAATTCTGAAATGTGGGAACCACTAGAATTTAAATGTGGGCAGGCAGCACTTCTCCCTGTGCTAAGCCTTGCTGGCTGGCTGACAAGCAGCATGGTGCAAAACGCTGCACAGAGGAGCCTGCCAGCTACTTCTGAGCTGGTCTGGCGTGCCAGTCCCCTCCACACTCTGCCAGGTCCTGTTCCTCTGGCATTTCTCTGTGCCCTGCTGCCAGCACATAACCACATACCACACACCTCTCACAGCCTTCGTACTGCGTGTCACCCTGAGCTTCTGCTCCAGTGCCTGATAGAAATTTAGGCCATGTTTCGAAAGAAAAATAATCATTGTAAAATTGTTACACGGTTTGACTGTTTCTAAATGCTCATGGAGAGCAGAACCACCTGGACAACATCTGCAGGGCTTTCCTGCAGCCAAAAGCTCTTCCTGACATCAGCAGCTCCTTATACATGGTGAACCTGGCAGCTACATGGCTCGGTTAGTTGGTGCCAAACCAAATAAATGAGCTGTACTGGAAGCAAAGCCAAGAGGTGCTACAGTCTGGAGAAGGCCCTGTCCTCGCGCCCCAGCCTTTCATGTAGCAAAAATAACTTTCCAAGTGGGCACAGATGTATTTCCAATCACTGGGACATGGGTGTCTATCCTCCCTTCAGAAAACCACTTGATTTTTCTCAGCCACCAAGGAGCACCACCTGCCCCATGGTGCCACAAAGAGGCCACAAGCCAGAACACCGAAGAGCTTGTACCAAGGTGGTCCCCTTGCAGCCCATGCCTGACAGCCTGTGTGAGTCCCCCACATTTACAGTACATCTCCATTGCAGGTGAGCCCACCTCTACCTGGGTCTCTTCTTTGCTCCCTATGGAGACCCCTGCAGCCCCAGGGAAAGACAGCCTGCATCCTGCTGACTTGGCCAGGGAGTCACTGAAAGCTGTTTCCAACACAAATGGCTCTTTTGCACCAGCCAAGATGTAATGCAGGGCTTTTGCAAAGGCAACAGGAATAGTCCTGCACGCAGGGCTCTGAGCTGTGTGACCTCCCGTGTGACACACACGTGTGTGTGCAGAAAGGCCCATGAGCAAGGACTGCTGCCAGGGAGAGGGGCTGCACCAGTGCTACCTGCCCACCCCTCTCAGAAAGGGCACTGAAAAGGACAGGACTGGCTTAGTTAAGGGTGAACATCCTTGGGGGAAATGCCTGGCCTGGGGAAACCTTGGATTGGTCAATGCCATCAGTGCTGAGCTCCAGCAAACGACAGGGGGGAGCCATGGGGGAGCTGCCTTTGGTGGAGCTGTCACGCATGGAATCCTTGTGGGAAACACAGGAGTGATGGGGGCACAGCTAAGTAAGGGGGCAGAGGGAAAATGAAATCATTAAGACAGGAGGGAAGGGAAAAGTGTCTCTAAATTACTGTCAGAGAAGGAAAGCACATTACATTTGTGTTCTGCATCTGCACAAGGGCTTGGCAGAGCTGCTGTCAGTCATGCAGTGTGTGCCCCCCTCACTGGCCCCAGGAGTGCAGCTGTGGGGTGTGCATGGCAGGAGTGCAGGGCAATCCCATTGCCAGGGGGGCATGTCCTCTGCCATCCCACCTGGCCAAGGAGGACCACAATGAGTGCTTAGGGCCCAGGGTCCCCAAGGCTGGCACTGGCTCAGGACTCTGGAGACAGGGCAGTGTCTGACAGCACATTTCCAGCTGCTGAGTGGACACATGCCCAAGGAAACCCACAGGGAGCCCTGGCTTTGCCACTGAATCAAGGCTGGGAGTCAAAGTCTGACACATCCCTGGCCCAGGGCT